CCCCAAAACCCCAAAACCCCAAAACCCCAAATTAAATTATTTATTGAAATGAGTGAATTTTTAGCCTCTGGATCTGGAAACGGTCTCTTTGACAAAATAGAAACGTTCAATAATGATCATGATTTACGTAACAATATTAACGAACAGAGGTTCCAATCGTCAGCTCAAGCAGTTCAGGGAAAAAATGAGATCGAAGAATATAGGTATTCCTTTACCCAAATTCTTTAGGAAGAGGAACCAGTATTATGAAAATCTGGAGTTGATAAAGCCAGGAGTGATTGTCCCAGTAGATTCTTCCAGTCAAGAATCTATGAAGGAATACCAGTACATGGACAACCCCGAGTTCGATTTGGATAATAAGAAGACAAACCTTCACGACTACTTTAGAGAGGAATCCTGCGATACTATTTTTGATGATGATTTTATAAGGAATATGAAAAATAATCCTGAGAAAGTCGTCAAAAGCTCCCAGCCTAAAGTAAAAGATAGTAGCTCGAAGAAGAGCAAAAAGAGAAGTTCTGGTATCAAATTTGAGGAGAAAAGGCATAAGAGCAGGCCTATTAGAAGGAAGAAGTATGAACCTATGAGTGAAGAAGATAAACCCTTTCATCAAGATTCTAAGTTTGAAAATCCTGATAGCAGTTTTGATAGAGAAAAATAAAATTTCTCTTAAAAGAAAGACAAAATTTTTGAAAAATAAGGTGCCTATACCTATAAATCCTGAAGTACCCAAGTTGAACTTAGAGAAAATATCTCAGAAATAAGCCGAAGAAGATGAAAATGAAGGTTTCTCTTTCTAGTCAAAATTCTGTTAACAATAAAGCTTCAAATAAAAGGAGCAGTAAGATGCAATATTTTGGTAAGAGAATGGGATTTAATGTATAGAGAAGCAAGCTTCCAAAGATTCTCAATCCAAGATCCCAAATGATCTGAATAAGATCAATAGAATGATCAGTATTATGGACATAGGCAACAGTAATACAAATAATTCGAAAGAGCTAAGCTCAAAAATTAGTGAGGCTAACTCACTAGAACAGGTTGAGCATGATCCTCAGAGATCAACAACACCTAATAGAGATATCAAGTCAATGAAGGTAACTTTGGAGAAGAAACCTAAAAATCGTATTGAGAAAGTTAAAGAAAAGGAAAATATTCAGGATAGTAGTCAGAGCAACCAATCTATTGCCATTGATATCATTAGTGAGTCCTCCAGTATTGATACTCAACGGTTAAGAATTGGTATTGAAAAACATTCTGACATATAGAGGCTCAAAGGCGGCTAACCCAAGGACAGGATAAATCAGCAAACCTAAATTTGCTTAAAGTTAAAGAATCCCTGCAGCCTTCTTCGTCCTCTCATATGCAAGGATCTCACTCTTTCTACTCAGAGATAGATTTTTCAAGAGAAAATCTTTGGAAAAATAAGGAGGAGGCACAAGAAAATGAGAGAAACAATATCGGGCAAATCTCTGACAAACAGCTAAATCCTTCTCAAAATAATTTTAGCAATTGAATACTTGTCCCAACTCATCAAAAGAATATACAATCAGTGGATGATATCCCACTTAGAAAGAATTTTACAACATTCAATGAGCTGCTGAATGCCCAGTTGAAATAGAAATGAGAGTAAGAGCAAGCAAAATTCTCCATCCCCTCTGAATTCTCCCTCAAGAGATACGAGTGTAAAGTCTTTCATGAATGCAGAAGATATTGACAGATACAGGATGTCGAAGACGAACACTAGGAGGTAACTTTCAAGATTGATCTAGAATAGACATAAAGCCTCGACTTTTATGCCATCTGGTAACAACACACCAGAAGTAACTTACAGAGATGCAATTCTAAATCTCCCCAACAACAACTCAAGAGTCGAATACCAGACGCCTCCACTCAAAGACCCCAGTTTAGCTTCGCCTCTTTCCAAAATCCACATCGAACAAAACCCGCTTGAGGATGTTCCTTTTGGAAGACTAGCCCCTCTAGACCATCAATACTCAATTCCTGAAAACCCGTCTGGTAACATAATTTCCAATGCAGAGGGTCAGAAGTACTCTGTCTTACTAGAAAGTTCCAAAAGTACACTTTTAAATTCCTAACTTTTAGCCTTGCTAGCTCAGTACAAATCTGAAAATGAAGCTTTATTAAAAGAGAATGATAAGTTAAAGTATAAACTGAAATAAATGCAAATATTTGATAAAAACTCAGAATTTGAAAATTCTGACACTAGAAGAACAAGTTCAGAGAAAAGATCTAGAGAATATTAAGAACCAAGTTGAGATGGAGAAGAGGGTCCTGGAGAATACGAGGATGATGACTAATGGGATGCTGACACAAACAGAGCATTTTCAAAGTCATTATAATACGATTAATAAAGACCAGTTTGAGGATAGAAATTTGAATTATATGAGTGAAGCAATTGATCATACCCAATATTTTACACCTAAGGGCAAGCCACATACAAGGTTTATACCCAGGCATACTAATTCAGCATCGAGAGTTAATGAATTTAGGAATAGCCAAAGTCCTTCACCTCCTGTTTATATTTCAAGCAAAGTAAGTGAGATTAGCATGAACCCTTCTGTCACTGGCTATTATAAGACTGGTAATAAGCCCTCACCAGATGGTACTCTAAAAGAAACAAAAAGACATCAGTTTCCAGATGAAAATGTTCAAGCTCAAACTACTACCGGAGAAGAAAATCCTGAAAACCAGCATAACCCTTTTAAATCCCCAGAGCTCCAGCTAACAAACAATCAAATTGACGATTTTAAATCTGAACAAGGGTCTGGTTCTAGTGAAGCTGATTACAAAATCAAGGATGATTATGCAAATCTTCCAGAAAAATACAGTGGAATTCAGGAATCATCTAAGCAAAGTTTCTATAAATCCTCGCAAGGATCAGAAGTGCACAAGTCTGACTCTATCAAGCAGTCTCAGGGCTCAAGGAAAGATAGCAAACTTACAAATGAGGATCTGGAATTCCTTGCAAATGATATGAATGATGTTATGACTTCTTCCAAGAAAAAATCCGGAGTCATTACAAAGTTTTATACAAGTGGGAAAATAGAGAAAATTTATAAAGACGGGACAACTTTATGCACTTATAAAGATGGTAACATTCTCTGAACCTATCAAGATGGGACTCGAGAGATGGTCTATCCTGATGGTAGGATCAAACGGCTCCCTAAGAAGGAGTAATCTTCTAAAATTTTCAGTTTCTTGTACGGAGTCAGGGGTTTTGGGGTTTTGGGGTTTTGGGG